GCTTTCAGGCAACAACCAGTCCAGTCTGATAAGAGAAACTGGGGAAGGTGCCAGTTATGCCTCTATTTTTTCTCGGTTGCCATCTGCTGAGTCCCACTGCATCACCAAACGATCAACGATGATCAACGGGACTTTCTGCTTCCAGGCCATTTCTGTCCAATCAGCCAGAATGAGGTATTTCAAGCATTTAGTGCTTCAGAATGTGAGTCCAAATGTTTAAACGTGGCTTAAATTTGCAGCCTCCATAACTCTTCTTGGCTGGCATAGCTTCTACTAGCAGATCTGCAACTGCTAGGACTTTCAATATCCTTTACTGCTTTGGGTCTTTTAATTTTTTTTTTTGGAGGTAGGTCCCCTGAGGGCAGGGACTTTGTCCATTTTGGGCACTGGATATACATTTTCCCCTAAGTGATACTAGGAGGTAAAATAATCAAATTTTGCTTTAATCTTTCTAAAAAAACCGCAGTTATTAAATGTCAACATTTTCAATTAAAAATTATTTTTTCTCTAGGTTGTATGATGTGTCCTTTGCCCACTTACCTCCTTCCATCTTAACATTTTTTATGCGAACTAACACTTGTAATTAAAAATTTCCCAGTAGCCACCATAAAAAGGAAGTAATTTTAATATTTTGTTTAACAAAATGTATCAGTAGTAATATTACCCAGTATATAAAAATATCATTTTAATGTGTTAGCAAATTAGAAAATCAATGATTTTGGGGGATACTTGATTCCTGAGAGCTGGTATTTTACACTTTCAAAGGCTAAAGTAAAATGAAGTCTTCCTAAGCTTTGTATGAATGAAAAGTATTTAAAACTGTCTTTTTAAAATTTAAAAATAATCTAGTTTCTCAATTGTATTAGCCACATTTCAGTGCCCAGTAGCCACATGGATAAGAACATTAGACATCATGGATATAGATTATCTTCTCTATCAGAAATTTCCTTTCAGTCTTTTGAAAATGCTTTACAAACTGATGTGTCATTCTTGCATTCTTGCTCATCTCTCGTCATTCCAATTCTGATGTCTGCGCTGCTGAAGCAAGCCCCGCATCTCCTTTCATCTCCTCACATTTCCCCAGTTCTGAAACCTGAATACAGTCAACAATGATTCTCTTCTCTTAGATGCTATTCTTACCAGAAGCTAAGAGTTGACTAATATGGTGACTATTTTAGAGTATCCTTTATTTAAGTGAACCAAACTGTCATTTCCAGCTGTGATCTCATCCTACAATTATATTTTTTATCCTTGATGTCGTAATGGTGCAAAAAAGGGGGACGCCTTCCTTGAAATCTGTCTACAAGACTTAGATTTTCTATGTTTTTAAGATTTAAAAAAAAATTTTTTAATGATTTATGCATACCGAACTGGGGTCCAGGCCAGAGGTGCCAGGGG